AATCATCATTTTCACTTCCCTGACAAAATTTTCATGGCACCATTGTAAGCACTTTACAAATATTGAATTTCCAGATCCTCACAACAGCCCTTGAAGGTAGATATTATTGTCACCCATTTTACAGATGAAGAAAATGAGGCACAGAGAGGTTAAATAACATGCCCAAGGTGACCCAGCTGGTAGGCGACTTAATATTCAAACCTGTGCGTGGAGGTTATCCCATGTGTAAGCTGTTGATTATTTGATCCTGAGGAAAAAAAATGTAATATAGTTTCCATCCAGACTATTTAATTTCTAGTCAGATTCTTAAAAAAAAAAATCATCAAAGTACTGTATGTTCATGGTCTCAAGTCTACAGCACCGTTAAGAGGAAAAGCAGCATCCCCCAGCCCCACTGCCCTCCCTTTTCCTTTAAACTACTGGGCTCCTCCAGGGCGAAGCAGTGAGTAGCATCTAGAGACAGATGGAAAGAAAGAGGACACCTTTGAAATAATCTGAGAATCATTCTTTGCCTAATTTTAGGGGAGAGGGCTGAATGAAAACATTTTTTTCTGAGACTGATTTCAGATTACACTGGCAATGTAGAAACTGCTTCCTGGGACCCAGGCAGGCCCACCCAGAGCTCTGGAGCTACAGGGGCCTGAGAGACTTTCCAGAGGTCCCTGGAGGATTCCAGATCCCCTCTATGACCCAGGCAGGGTCTACCATGCACAACGCAGTGGAAAAGACCTGGGTGTCCCAGGTTGCACAGACGTGGATCCCCACCCACCCTGAGTCTGAGTCAAGAGCAGCACCCATGTCCTTGTGTGGCCACGAGGATTAAATGAGGCAGAAAAGCCTGGCACACGGGGCACATTTCCCACACTAGCTGTTTTTCACTTTTGTGGTTTATGGAAGCAAATGCGTCCTGTCGTTCTGCCACTCGGGTCTCCCCATCCCTGCTCCCAGCCTAGGTCCCCCACCTATCAAAGTTCATCCTGGCAAGAGAAAGGTCAGCTCCCACCCAACAGAAATCAGCCAGGGTTGGGGATTCTCAATCTCCCCAGCTCTTCTTTGGTGCAGATATTTAAGGCTGAATTAGACAGCCTTGGGGCCTAAGCCATGTCTTGGGAGAAGGTTTGCCAAGCAGTGAAAATCCTCTCCTGCAAGTTTGAGACTCCGCAGAGAGCCACACTTGCATCCCTCGCCGTGAGCTGAGGTGCCCCTTGCTGTCCCCACAGGACGGGCAGTGCATTCTACCTGCTGCATTTCAGACTTGCTTGGCTGGAGTATGGTGAGCTGTCGCCAGCACATGCCCTTGGGCTGCGCCCTTTTCCACTTAACTCCCTACGAGAGGCTCGAACAAAAGGGTCTGTCACTGAAATTGATCTCAAATTACTTGGGCTCAGAGGACAGAATCTGCTGGCTGGAAGAAACCCCAAGGATTCATGGATGTCAAGCTCCAGTCTCTGAATTCGGTTCACTCCAGAAATAACCACCTCTACCCAAGCGTGGGAAGAGATCTAGAACAGCATTTCTCAAGCTTGAAGGTGCTTTTGAATCCCCCAGGGATCTTGTAATGCAGATTCTGACTCAGCAGGTTGATCTAGAGGGCTTGCTGCCCTCAGAAGGTCCTGCTCTAATAGGGGAAGGGCACAGATGCGCAGACACAGTAAACAATCTTATGGGTACTGGGAGGGGAGGGGGCGGGAAGGAATAAATCTGGGAGTTCAAGATTTGCAAATATTAACTACTATATATAAAAATAGATAAACAAATCTCTTCTGTATAGCACAGGGAATTATATTCAGTATCTTGTAATAATCTTTAATGAAAAAGGATATAAAAACAAATACATGAATCTATATGTATAAATATATGCATGACAGGGGTATTATGTTGCCCGCCAGAAACTGACACATTGTAACTGACTATACTTCAGTGAAAAATAAAGTAAAGTAAAATAAAATTGGGGGAGTACAGTACGCGGGCAGGCTGAGCTCTCCAAAACAGGAGCTTTCTATTTTCTCCAGATACAGTGTTAGACACAGTGCCTTTAACCATAGAAAATACTTGTTGGATGGATGGATGGAGGGATGGAGGGAGGGACTGAGGGATGGATAGGCAGGCCCACGTGGATGGATCCTGATATTAAGATCAAATACACGGGCGGGACGGTATAGCTCAGTGGTAGAGTGCATGTACCAGGTCCTGGGTTCAAGCCCCAGTACCTCCATTAAGAAAATAAATAAATGAATAAATAAACCTAATTATCTCCCCACGCAAAAGCAAAACAAACAAAAAAGATCAAATGTACACTCAGAAACAACCGGTAACTGATGTCCTGTCTTATAAATTACATACCTAGGTAAAAATGTCCTAGGTGGGTAATGAAAGAAAGGGGGAAGGGAGGAAGGAAGGAAGGAAGGAGGAAGGGGACGAGAAGGAAGTGAAAGATGAAAAACTGTAAAATCCCCAAGGTGTTTTCTTTTTCCCTCTACTAGAACATCTTTTTAACTTAGCATGATTTATGGATGTGTCATATCCCCTCCAGGAGACGACACGACGTGCGTGTGCAGGGCTGCGTCCCTTATCCCCTAATCCCCAGTGCGTGGCACCGGAGCCGGCTCTGGCAGGAGCGCCGTACACACACATTTTATGAAACGAATAGAAATAATAGCGCCATTCACGAAATCCCTTTCTGGTGCCAGACACAGATATCTCATTTAATTCTCCTAACCACCTTATGAGGTCAGTGCTATTATCCCCACTTTACTGATGAGAGATGTGAAGCTCGGGAGGATTAAACAAGATGCCCAGAGTCACATAGTCAGTGGTCGGGATAAGGACCCTAGGCGACCAGAGCCCACGCTCTTGATCAGGGGAGAGCCAGGTTTTGTGAGGCCTGAAGCAGATACATGTTGAGGGGCCCTCTTGAAGGAAAAGCATAATACCCCCAAAAATCTGCTGCAAGATTTACCAACTAGAATGACCGTGTGACCACATCGCTTTGGGGTGGGGGCGGGGTGTGCAGGGAGGGGCTCTGCAGCTTTGGCTTCATTAGCTTCGGGGCCAGACTGCCTCTGGTCTCGACCCACGTGCAGGAAACAAGAGCAAAAGAAGAAGGGAGAGGAAAAAAGATGGGAGAAAGAGAGGAGATTAAAAGGGAGCAAAAGGAAAGAGAGGAGGGAGAAAAGAAGGAGGAGAACCTAAAGAGATGGTGGGGAAAGAGGAAGAGTGGTCAGAGACAGGACCGGAAGGGGCTGAGGAGGAGCTGAGGCTGCCTCATGAATGGAGGGCCATGGGGGGACATCCAGTTGAGGCACCTGGGAGGACGGGCCTCCACTCTCTCCAGTCTCTGTGCCTCCACCTATACATCATGTAGCCTCTTCCCCCGACATCACAACAGCCTTGTCTCGTATCTCCTTCCCAGGCCTCTCCACAGGCTCCCAGACCCACCTGGGTGCTGGGCCCAGAGCTCGAGCCAGGAGGGCTGAGTAATCACCCCCAAAACAGCCGCGCCCAGCGGTGCTCCTGCCCAGGCAGCTCCCTCTTTCCTGGTTCAACACCCGAGAACCCAGCGAAGAGATGCCAACCTGGGCCCGATGTTTAGCCCGGCACATAGAGGAACCAAGGCCAGGGAGAGCTGAGTCCAGGGTGGCCCACTAGCCTCTCACTGCCCAACTGGCAAGTCTCCTTAAAAGGGACATGCCTGCCTGGGTCTTTGCAGCCTGTCCCCTGAAGACACCTGTTCTGGGATCACAGGCGCTTGACTCTGACCCAAATGTCCAATTCTACAGGTCAGTGCCCTAGAGTGGGGGAGGGCGGGGGCCACATTGGCTCGAGACACCCTCCAGTTCAGATCTCTGCTGCTCAGAGACAAGTCCAAGGCCATAACACCTGGAGCAGCCAAGATTAGGCCAATCACCAGGGAAACCTCCTAATATTGCTCCTCCCACTCAGAGGTCACCAGGGTCTTCCATGAGCCATATGTCCCCAGACTGTCACCCAGGGCTTCCAGGCACTAATGCTACAGTCAGCCCTGAACCAGGTTCAAGCCCCAGCTCTACCAAAAACCCAGTGTGATTTGGGGGCCAGTCACTTTATCTCCATGAGCTATGATTTCTTCAGCTGCCAAAACAAAAATATTGACAGACATTTGGATCAAACTATTCCTCACAGGGTTGTTGTGAGAAGTAAAGAGCTGATACAGAGAATCACGTTATCACCGGAGGGGCTGGTGCACAAGGCTGGTCTCTGGGGAGGGTCACGGCTGAGAAACAGAAGATCTCAGTTTGTTCAGAAACCGACACTAATTTACTATGTGATCTTGGGTCCTTGAAATTTAGTTTCCTGACCCACAAAAGGGGTGGGAGAAGACAGCTGCCCAAACCCCTTCCAGCTTCTGTAGTTCAGTGGTTCCAAGGTCTGGCCTCGCACCACCCCCCACCCCGGCCAAGGGGCGGCTCCAGCCGTCAGGGTATGGCAGGATGTGAATCAGCAGTGACCCTATGGGGAGGGGGAGACCTATGTCCGAGCCATAGCACCAAGAGTGATACTCAGAATATTAATAACTGGCAAGGCAGGGCTGAGAACACTCACAAAGGATGCTGGCTGGTCCACCGTCTATGACCCTGTGCAGGACAGCCTCACGCCGAAGTCCATGGAAAGGGGAAGAAAGCTCTTCTCCATGAACTTTCCAGTCCTGTTGCCCCACACTTGGCAACAATCCAGTTCCACGGAGCAGTAAATTCTATCATCCCACTCCCCAAACTCCTCCATGTCCCCACAACCCCAAACAAAACACCCACACAGTGAGAAGTCAAGCAGGAGAGAGAGAGAGAGAGAGAGCCTCTGACATCACCAACAGCCAACACCCGGTTGGGTGGAAGTCATTCAGGCGGGAAGGCTTTTGCGACATCTAGGTGTGTCACCTGTTCTAAGGCCGAAGGGTTCATGACTCCAGGTGCTGTTTCAGCCCCTGAGATAGGTGTCAGGTTACAAGATACATAATCATTCCAGTTTGGCAACTTCACCTGTAGGGTTGTTTTAATCAACCTGCTCCACAGTCTCCAGATCACTGTTGGAAGACAGTGGTGGGACGCGGCCAGCTACCCACGGGGAGAGAGATGCTGGCTGTGAAGGGGTGCCGAAGCCTGCCTTGCACTTAGCCCCCCTTCAGCCAGCGCCGCCCGGGGATCGCTGATCTGCTGGCCAGCCAGGGCCCGGTCCCAGGAGGCCCTCCTCCAGACGTGGGTTGCCAACCTCAGCTCCAGGTCATAAAGAATTCAGGAAGATCTCAAGCCAGCATGGTGAGTGTCGGGTCCCTCTGCTCCAAAGACTGGGGGAGGGAGTGTTTCCCCACACAGGGTCCTTCAGGCAGCCTAAGAGGTCATCGGCTGAGAATTTTGCAACATCTCCCAGAGGTCACACCCGAGTCGCCCCCACACTCCAGCCCCTGGCACGTCTCGGTACCCACTGCCCTTCCTTCCCCGCTCCTCTCCAACAGCCCTCACACCAGCACCAAGGAGGCCGAGACCCAGGGGCCAGGGTGATCCTTCCTGCTCTCCCTCCTCAATCTGCCTGCTCCCTTGCCCCACGTCTCTTGGTCTGTTGGCTGGACACTGGCACTGTTTTCCCAAGGGCAAGGGGATGTTTGTTACAATGGTGGCCCTCTGCCACCTCTCTGGGAAACAGACTTCTTTTCTTTTTAAAGCAAACAGTGGAGAGCCGCCTCAGAACAATTTAGGATGCCATGGAGATCAACTTGTCTTTTTTGGGGCCCTGCCCAAACTCCTCCTCTGAACACCTAGAGTGTCTCCACTTGTCTTGGGGCAAAGAGGCTCAACCCCATCTTTCAGGGAGGTCAACTGAGGACAGGGCAGGGAGGAGATAACAGCCGGCTCTGAGGTGGAACCTAGGGAAGCTTTCTTCCCCAATTATTGGCCAAGGTGCCGAAGCTGCCCCACAACCAACATGAAAACGAAGGGGGAGGGGAGGGCACGAGGAGAAGGGGAGGCACTGCATCCAGGGGAGAAAGGGATGAGCTGCTGGGGTCCCTCAGGTGATAGTCTCCTGACTCCCAAGTACTCCCTGTGACACTCCCCTGAGCCATCTAGCAAAACTCCAGCCCCAGGGCTGGGGTAGTGGGGGGTTAGAAAGGGGAAGGGGCTTGCCTGCTTCACTCTGCAATTCAGCCTGGACTGAAGCATCAGCCTCCCATGTCCCATCCCAGGAAGCACCCTGAAAGCCCAGCCAGTGTGCAGAGACGCCCCATCCCGCGGGGGCTGTCAGAGAGAAGGGGATGCAGAGCTGGAGACCAGACCTCAGCCTGCCTGGCTGGCAGCAGCTTCCTGGTGGCTCCCGGAGCAACCTAGAAGTGGGGAGTTCCTAGGGAAGACTGCTGGGGCACTAACTGTTCAATCCAAAGGGCACACGGCCAGCTCCCTTGTGAGCTTGTCAGTCCGAGAGTTCACTCTTTCCGAGATTCACTGTCTCCTTCTATAAAAGAGAAATATTATCCATGCCACCCCCTCTGCCCGCACACAAGGTTAGCGGAAAGATTGAATGGGCTAATGACGTGTGTGAATAGCCTTGTAAACCAGGAAACCCTGTACAGATGTCAGGATTTATGACCGAAGAAGAATCCGCTCCAGGGAACAGCAGATGGGTGGGAGGTGTGGTCAACATGGACCATCCACTGCCCACGGGAGGAGCCGGGCGCTGCTGTATGAGAGAGGCGGGCAGGGGCCACGCTGGGGAGGAGGGGCCGGGCAAGGCCCCAAAGGCAAGGCAGCAGAGTGGCCACGATCCAGAGCTTCTGGCCCCTGAGCTAACCATCAAACCACCTGTGCTTAATAACTGTTATTTCCTTCTAATGAGGCCAAGACAACTTTAGCTCCCAGCCCTGGGAGAGATGAGACTGCACCCCCTTCTCTTCCCCTCCCTGCCTCCTCCCACACCCGCAGGCCACTCCCTGGACACAGAGTCCTGCACCGTTGCTGTTCCTTAATGTCTCCCTCAAACCTATTCAACCAGGTGTGCCAGTGAGAGCAGGGGCTAGGGAGGGCCTGGGCAGGGGTCTGAGCCCAGTCTCTCCTCAAGGGGAATGCGTTCCCTAATATCTGTCACCCACAGCTGAGCCCTGACCGTGTGACTGGCCATCCTGGTTTTAACTCACTACGCCCAGGAGGCCCCCAACATACCATGTGTCACTGGTGGCGTGTGCACCGCCTGAGGTCAGTCCAACCCTTGGGCTGCTCTGGAGGAAGTAGGTCCTCCCCACCTTCTCCTCCTTGACTTGCTGGCTTGTAGGGACCAAGGGGGTTGCTGGGCTTGGCTGGGCTGGGGCTCAGGAGTGTGGCAGGTCACCAGGGCAGCCTGCCGGCAGTGGTGCCTGGGAGTCTGGGCAGGGTCCGCCTCCAAGAGAGGCCAAGTCCAGGAGCCCGCTCAGCCCTGGTGGTGCCACCCTGGGCTCGAAGACAGCAGAGCTGGGCAGTGGAAAGACCCAAGAGGGCAAGATAAGCAAAGAGGGGCCAGGCCCGCTCCTGTTGTCCAGGACCCCTCACTACCTGCTGTGACCCTCCCCACCCCAAGTAGCTCCATCCTTCCATCCACCATTTAATCATCTGTCCCAGGATGGCCAGAAAAAGGGCAAAAGGGTACCATGCCTTGGTTCTGCCCAGGAGGTGCTCAAAATCCAGAAGAAGGACAGAGAAGGATCCTAAGAGACTGTGACAAGTCCAATACCAGAGGCGATGCAAGGTGCCCCTGGAGCAGAGAAGGCAGTAAATTCTCTCTGGGGTGGGTGGTTGGGAGTTGTCCCAGAAGAGAAAGTACTAGCCTTAGACCTCGAAAGATGAGCAAGCTCTCTCCAGGCTGAGACGCGGAGAAGGGTATTCCAGGCAGCGGGAACTGCATGCAAACAGCAAGAAAGAGTGGCAGTGGGGGACGGGGGAGGGTGCTATGTCTGGAGCAGGGAGCACAGAGGGCTGGGCTGAGGCCTGGGCCCCATGGGGTGGTCATGTAGGCCCTACGTGGAGCTCACTGTGCCCTAGAGCACAGTGGGGTAGGGCCTGGGTGGAGCCCCAGTGGCTGCCAGGGGCTCGCGCTTGGGGCTGAGCCCCCTCCAGACCTGGCACAGCCCACCCTCCCCGCCAGGCAGAGCAGCAGGCGTCCAGCTCCATTCATTCATCCCACCAAAGGGGCAGGCTGCCTGCTCTGTGCTCGCACTAGACTTGCGGGCTAGAGAAAGCAGAGGTGGGTCCTGCGCTCTGGGAGCTCAGTCTAGAGGAAGCGGAGGGCAGGGACAGGTAGATGCTTATCACACAATCACACAAACCATTGTTTAACTAACAACTGAGTTACGGCTTGTGATGCAACACACGTAGGAGCCAGACCAGGGCATGGGCCTCGCTGGAGGCCAGCGGAGGCTGAGGGCTGCCTAGGAGCTGGGAAGCAGGGGTGAGGGAGGGCTGTGCCAGGTGGAGGGAACAGCAGTGAGATGGTGGAACTACATCCCCCTGCCCTCTTCCATCTCCTAGGGCCCTTCCTCCCGCCCCTGGGGTGGAGCTCTGTGCCTGGCTACTTGAGAAGCCGTTTAGAAGCTGGCCTCTCCCTCACTCTCACCGCCTTCCCTCCGTGCAGCTGAGACACCAGGAAAGACCTGTAGGAAACACCTTTCACCCCGAGCCTGTCTTCTTGACAAAGCCCAAGAGAATCTGAGTTGCTGAATGTGGGAAGTGAGGGGAGACTGGTCCAGGGAAGAGGGGGGAAATGGGGAAATAGAAGAAAGACCGAAAACAGGGCTCAGGAACTCTGGACAAGCTTTCTGAAGCCCCAGAACCAGCTCAGGACAGTAGAAGACAAACACTCTCAGGCTCTTCACGGGCCTTTCAGATTTCCCGGGAAGCTCTCCCGCCCTCAGCCTTCCTTCATGCTCAGATAAAACATCTGCCTCTATGAAACACCCCAAATCCCCAAGCAGTGGGCCCCCCAAGACAGTGAATTCCTAAAAGGCATTCATCAGCCTCATTCTCTTATAAACCTGCTGCCACCAGACTGTGAGCTTCTAGAGAAGGGTCTGTGCCTTTTCCACCTTTTTTAGCCCCAAACCTGGCACAGGGCCTGTCACAGAATAGGTACTTGAGAAATGTTTGGGAATGAAGGACGAATAAACGACCAAAGACTGAATCCCCTAGAACAAGTGGTGTGATTGACCTGACACTGAAAACAAGGTTAGTCAGACTTGATGCTGAAAAGATGCTAGATGCTACCGGAGGTTGTACCAAGCTGTTTTCATCCCCGACGGAGCTGGGGTGAGGCCTGAGCCCACCTCGAAAGCCCAGCGATGGGGAAGAGAGAGTCTGAGCAGAGCCAACGCGGCAATCACCCTGCGTGTGCTTAACTCCACCTCGCAGCCTGCGGCTCTGACTGTCACGGTGGCAGCAGAGAAATTTGTACACAAGACTCAAAACCGCAACACCTCTCCCCTGCATCTTCCTCCCAGAGCAGCTGCCAGTTTCCTAGCATAATCCACATGCAACGGGAAACTCTTACAGGATGGCAGGTGAAAGAAACACTCGAGGAAGAGGGCAAGGGGCTGAGTAGGCACCTATCCAGGGTAGCAGCAGTGTCCTCCATCACGGAATCTTCAGTGCATTGGTCTGGCCGGGCTCTGCCTGCTGGTGTGGCTGAGCCCATACATGCTTTAGGCATTTCCTGCTGTCTCAGTGTCTTCCTTTATAATATGCATTCGTTCATTCAGCACGTGTTCCCGGAGCACACACTAAGTGCTATGCACTGGCAAGACACAGTGGGCGATTCAGACAAGAATATCTAAAATGGAAGACCTCAGTTCCGTACACTCCAAGGACGGAACACAGCAGGGTAAACAACTTGCCCCAACCCCAGGCAGAGCATCATTCACCCACAGATGTGAAACAGAAAGGGGGTGATATAACTGAGGTCACCCCACCTCACCTTCGTCCCATTCCCGCCCTGACACTGGGGACTTCAGGCATCTCCCACCTCCAGAGAGGCGGGTCGGGCCAGGCTGTCAGGAGGACCCATCCTGGTGAGCAGGATTCCCTGGTGATCTAAAGAGAATAATAAACGGCGCAGCCACGGCTCATCTCCACCCAAACGCAGCAAGTGTGACATTTTGCAGCTTGAGAAGCACATTCATATTCCGAATCTCCCTGAGTCTTACCCCGGCTCTCTGAGACACAGTGATCCTCTTTGTACAGATGAGGAAACTGAGGCTCCAAGAGCTTGACAAGGGTCACTCAGCCAAGAAGAGGTGGGGCTGGGA